GAATTCTTCGTTTATTTTCAGCATTTTTTGACTAGACAACTTAAAGGATCTAGCTTCGTTTTTCGTATTTTGGCTCTGTCTTCAAAAATCGCTGTCTTGCGCGGAGCAGGTGCCTTGGATTTGTTTTGAGATAGATAATCTTCACTTCCTTGAACCAGTTTAAAGGCAATTTTTGAAATACTTTTCCTCCCTGTCTTAGCCATGTTATAAATAATGCTTCTTTTTTAAGGAGTGAAGTGTTTGCCGCAACCCATGTTAGTTCAATCTGCGTATATTTTGATAGAACTCAACTTTTTATGTATTTTAATTCGATGAAAAATAAATAAAAAGACACTTTCAAGATCCAACCGACGACTGTGCTATTTGCGTGACCATGGCTGTATATTGCATAAAAAACATTTTGCACAGGGTGTAGTAAGCGTTCACACTTGTTTTGTGATTCCAAGTTCATCATTATTGTCAATTAAAATTTTACTGAAATTTATTTACAATGAAAACCAGTTTTTCCAATCGTCTTCTATTTAAACATTTACACAGTAAACTTAATTGCATTTGCTTTATTCGTGTACAATTTACTTCCCTATTTTGCATTTGCAACCCGATAATCAATACAAATTAAGCATATTTATATTCATTAAATCTATTGTGTAAATTACACATAAAAATTTATTGAAATTTCGCCTTAAATGCAAATAAGTGAAGAAGTCTCTCTTAAAAACTCACTGCTTCTGGGTAAACATGTAGGGTGCAAATAATAAGAAGAGGAAATAATTTGAACTAATACATACATACATACTATTTACATAATTACGAGTGTTAGCGAATATGCCATTTTTCACATCTTTCGCGCATAAAAGGTTGCCTGTGCACTTTATTTTATTTGTATACCACGTACCGATTTTTTACCGAACGCCAAAAAGTTTCAAGGACGAAGTCAATTAGCACTTTCACCCATTCGTTTATTGGGTTCTACTCATTCATTTTCTAATCTTTTTGTGCTAATTAGCATAGCAATTCATGCGTAAGTAATATTTTTCAAATATTAATAAGTGCTTTCAAATTATTAACTTTATGCGACGAATGTACCACGGAAAGCGAGACTTCGTCGGAAATACTGTTTTTCTTTCAAAATTTATTTAATTTTTTATAAAATAATCTGCTTCGATATAATAATTTGGGCGATTAATTATAAACTTGTTCTTTTAATCTTCGTTGTTTTTAAAATGTCGGTGGTGAGCCTTTAGAACAGATTATGAATTTTGCTCCACAAATAGGAGTCTCATGGCACTAGGGTTGTCGTTTTTTTGTTGGTTGCGGCAAAAATCTAATTTCTGGTAAAAAAATACTAGGCTCGAACGATGGATCTAAAAAAATGGGTCTAAAAAATATAATGGGTTCGACCTATGGGTCTGATTGAACCGTTGAGACCTATTAAAGATGCCAAGACTAGTTTTGAGTGTTTGAAGCAACTTTATTATATTAATATTATTATATTTACTATAAAAGTCTTGCATGCCGAACTAAAGGCAGACAGGGCTATTAATTAGTTTGAGAGACTACAGGAGATAGAAGAGAGTAAATGAGAGAAATAGCGATTGAATTTTAAGTTCGATAAATTGCATCGTCACAAAGTGTCTACGTGACTTTCTTTCGATTAATTTTCCACATATGCTCATCTACTACATACATACTGATGTATGTATACGCACATATATGCATACGTAAGTCTGTGTACTTCTATGTGAACATATATTCCACAATAAATGAAAACAAATCTCTATATATGAACATATTTAATAATAACACATTTTTTTATTAGATTCTCAAAGCTCCAGCCGGCATCCTCATTTAAAATAAATAAACTTTTGGTTTGTTGTAGTCTTATCGCTGCCAATACTTGGAGAGAACTTGAAGCCAGATCTGCTATTTATATTAAATGTTACATGATGTATGTACATACATAAATATTGGTATATGTACATATGTGCGTCTGTGCAATATATGATTACTTTGGCTGATGTCGTGAGCTTCCGTAGCGTTAACATATATACATACCTATGCACATATGCATTATATTTAGGAATGTATGTATGTATGTATGCACGTAAGTAATAGATCCAGCCATCAGCCAATGCAGCCCGTTCTGCTCGCACACCAGCTGTCGTCATCTTCCTCGTTGTCAACGAGTGTGATAATTAAACACAATTCATGAATGTGTTTAATATACACACGTACATACATGCATATCTACATAGTATATAATACATAAATGTTCATTTTAACATATTTAAAAATACATTTGCTTATGATTTGTGTATTTCCATGATTTTTGGAATGTTCGAGCTCTTAACTTGTCAACTTGCTCCAGCAAAGCAAAAATGGCTTAGACGAGGAACACCGCATCAGTAATCTGTGTGAATTCTTATCTTTTTCGAAATTGTTCGTTTTTTAATCTTCATAGTTTTTAAGTTGTAAGACATTTCTTATCTACGCATGTATTATATTTATGTTTGCCTGCATTAGAGTTTACTAATACTCCGATGTAAGTGGGTTGCGTAAAATTTCCGAAGCCATAAACACAGAAAATTTTCTTGAAAAATAACAACAACAAAATTCGTAGCTTAGAAGTACACAAATTTAGGGGATACACAGACTATGTATATACATACATATACTCGTACATATATAATATAAGTAAATATGGATGTTTAGCGGTTTTGTAGCGGAAAGACATGATTGTATTCTGATAAGACCACTTCCAAAACAGTAGCATCAAGAAATTAATTAAAGAAAGATTTGTTTTGTTTCTAGAATTTTCAATTTCACTTTTTTCGCGCGATCAATATACATTCGTGGCAAAAATAGCCGGGATTTAATACCAGAAGTAGTGTCATAAACACGAAGAGTGTATTATATTTATTTCACAGAAGATTTTGAAAGAAACAAAAATTAAACAGAGAGTAGAATTAATAATGAATGTTGTTAGTTTAATTTATTTTAAACCGGTATGAGCCTAACGACTTCTACGAAAGGAAAAAGGAGGGGCTTTCAGGGTCCTGGATGAGCAACACTAGCTTCTCTTCGCTTTACAAAATTCCACGATGCAATTAGCTGAAGAACTAGGGCATAAAGCTTGAACTAAGCAGATTACTATTAGCTGGAAGTCTTGTTGCGGCTAAAGGAGGTAGCCTGGCTAAGAGGGTCAAGAAAATCGATTTTTTGAAACTTATCTCATTCGATTAGAAATATATTCAGAAATATTTCCACAAAATTTCAGAGTCGAATTCCTAATCGTTCCGCAGAAGTAGTCTCTGAGAGACAATGCGCTCGAGAGACAGATAAGCGGGCGCGAGAACTTTGAACGCGATTTTCTCAGAACAGTGTTTTTCTGTTTTGTTCACACGATTAAAAAAGTTGCAATTGTCGCATTTTCATAAGTAATAACTTTTTTTACAGCAAATATTGTAGGCTTCTATGTGAATCTAAAAAATCACAATAAAAAAATTTTTTATTAACTTTTTTCAATAAATTATCTTAAAATTTCTTCAGAAAAACTCAAATTTTTTTATAAACAGTCATAAAATAAATAATTTTATACATTTCATCGAATATCTTAGGTTCACATCGAGAAGAGCAACTCCTAAGCTACAAAAAAAGTATTCGTTTTTATGTTTCAGATAAAAACTACGATCGCTATCCTGTTCACAAAATAGACTCTTCGAGCGAGCAGTGCCACAAACAAATACGAATTGTTATTTGCAAGATGTGTGTATCTATGACCTATTTCAAAAGTACTTGAAACGTTTCATACGTAAGGCAACCTAAAACACTGTGCCGAATATCATGCAATTTTCAGCGTTCTAAACCAGGTTCCCCCCTAAAGGGAAGGACCGATTGTCAAAGGTTTCAGCTGAGCTGAATGCATATAAAAATAATTTCTAATTAGCTCAAAAAGGGCGAGCTCCAGAACGTCATAGTGCTTTGCAATAAAGCGGCTGCGAAACCGTATCTTAACAATGCAACCCTGCATTCTATAAATTAGACTTGCAACATACTTTGTAAAATCTGACATTCTGGAACGTTTTTCGTGCAAATACCTTGCTTTTCGGTGATATGGCTAAAATATGAAATAGTTCAAAAGGAAAATAAGTAATATAATGTTTAAAAAAAGAATTAGCGCAAAAAACTTGCCTCCGACTTCGACTATTGTTGTTAAGAATTTATGATAAAATAAAGCATCACAAGCCTTAGCGATGCGCAGTTTGCTTTTGCTTGTGTATCAATAACTTTACCGGTTCATTTTGGAGCATGATACATACTTAGGAATGCGTGAAATGGTATGGTTGCTTTGCAACTGACTTTTTGGAACTCACTTGCCCATATCTCAAATACTTTTCAAAATTTCGGTTCTAATTTCAAAGATGAATTGCAACACGTACGAATTTAAAAACGTACACATGTAGATATGTACATATATGTATATGCACTTTTATTACATTTACCTATGCATGTATGTATGTATAAATATATATGTATGTATATGAATATTCGCTAAAATATATGGGGCACATTAATATGTAGAAAATATTTTACATTTTCCTTTTTACGCCATCAATTGTAGAATGACAGTTAAATAAACTGTTGTGCTGGCTATATTCCAGCCCATTGCATAGTATGTATATAAGTATGTTTGTATTTATGGTTCTCACTTAACCAGCGGGCAGACGGGGCAAACCAAGAGGAAATAACATCGAACTCACTTAACAATTAATAGGGCATCGTAAAAGATATAAGCAAAAAACAAAATAATGAAATGCTAAGCCAACGCTTTTAAACAAATCGATAAGCTAGCTTCAGACTTTCTTCTTTCTTTATAGGTATTTACCTACATACATAGGTATGTAGAAATGTTTGATTTTGTTTTTCTTATTTTGTTGTGCTCACACGCAATTCACCGGATAAATTATTTGTATGTACAAATGTGTACAAATTTTTCGTACCTTCAATTCCCTTACGAATTTCGTTGTAGCCTGGTTGTACTCTCTTGTTTGTTTATTTATCTTTAAGATTCTTTCTTTCAGTTCTCCTTACTCACTCAATGAGTGCATTTACTCCTTCGTTCTTTTTGTATTTTTGGTTTGATTTCTGTCTCCTTGCACTGACAATAGAATACATACATATATGTGTACATATGTACATATGTATGTATGTATGAATAAATGTTTTGATATCAGCAACTGTCCTCGTTTGACGGACGTACACCCACTGATTCACAAATCCCAATACGAAAGTAGCGCACAGTTACACCCGCGTCCACTCGCTCTTTGGAAAATGAAACAACTGAATTTTCCCGTCCCACCGTTATGTATCTATAGAATTTATTTATTAATTGATTCAACCGCTTAACAAACGCTTTTCATCCGAACGCGAATGTGCACAAATATTTAACATACGCCGTCCAATATTCCCTTCCACTTGTACTGTGCACCACATTGTACTGGCTTTTATTTAAGTTGCAGAGATTTACAAAGTAAATTTGGAGTGTGGTGAATATGCGCTGGGCGCTACATCACTACACCGTCTCTTATTAGCTCAATTCTTGAATGCTCCAGGAGTGGTGAATATATACAATGAGAATGGTTGAGTTAGTGAGCGGGAATACATACAAACAGATGTGAATACAACAACAAACCAACACACACCAATTCCGTTTTATAGCAGTAAGGCATCAGCTGATAGGGTTGCTGTTGTTCATTCCAGTCATTGGCGTACCTACTTGGGTAAAATAAAGTGAATACTCCTACAAATAAGCAAAGAACGTATATTAATAATTAATATATGTTCCTTGCTCGCATGTAAGATCCAGAGGATTCTGTTGGAATATCTGGAATATGCTTTAATTATCGGTCTCTCCCACTCATCTACGTATTTCGCATTTTCGCCACAGTATCATCAAAGAACGTTCTTATACGTTCTTTGGTATCATCATGAAATTTTCGCACATACAGCGACATCTAGCGGTCAACTAGCGGTCAACTAGCGGTAGGCAAGGTCGACGGAAATGACTAGAAACCGGAAGTGGATTTTTACTCAGTTGAATACTTTATCAAGTCTTTAGAAGAATGCATTAACACTAACTTCTCAATGGAAAATATAATAAATATGTATATTTATTTGTATGGCACCGTACAACTCACGTTGTTTATGTATTACATATTATTATATACGCATATACATTTAATAGACACGTGAGACCTGATAAGCGCAGTCTCTGACTAGTTATCCAATCATATTTCCTAACGTGTGAATACATACACACAAACAAATGCAGGCATAGCTAATTGATTAGTCTTCCGTCACCAAAAATGAATTGGAAACACCCTCATATGGAAAAATTCCGCCTAGAATATATTTGTAATTGCCGAAATGCCGAATTCGGTATTCACCGGGCAAGGTGTTGGTGCCGATGGTCCAGTGGATGTGAATATCGCTGAATCCGAGTATCAAATGAACGCGCTCCCAAATGAATCTACAAAGAGTTTAATGTTCAAATAAATATTGCTATGCTCTAACGAAGAGAAAGAGAGAGGGAGAGAATATGAAATTACTTTGTTTCCCAACTTGCATCCGTATAGGCAACCTTCCAACGTTCTTCGTTGATCTTTCGTTCTACAACGAAGTAGGTCTTCTCCGGAAATAGATTGTTTCGCGGGTTGCCGGCTATAAAGGTGACTATAACGGTTTCATTTATTTGATACGCTTTTTTTGGCTGCTGCTTCACATAGCCAAAGTCCTTGCCAATTGGATGACCGTCGAATATCACTCCCGTATTCATCGATAGCATGCGATCGTTCATGTAAGGTGGTGCGGGGCCTGGCGACAATCGTTCACCTCTTATCATTGCCTTTGTCAATTGTTCATAAACGTCCATGTAGATTGTGTGTGTGTTCGGGCCATAAATTGTCGAAGCAGCCTCATATCTCTGTGCCTAATAACGAAAATATCATTTAACGACATTCCACAACTTCAAAGCAAACTTCTAAGAGCTAACTCACTTGGTATTCCTCAGGGGTTGTGATATAACTGGTATAAATGTTCGATAAACCTGCGATAATAACTTCTGTGTCCCTGCCACCTGTGGCCACAGCTACGGCGCTAATTTTGTTACGTAGACGTCGACCGGCCATGGTGGTGAATTCACCAGGCACAGCGGCTAGTATTACATCGCCAATCTTCAGCAGCTGGGTGGAGACAATCTTCGGCTGCCACTCATATGGGAATGTCGCCTGTGGGGAGTTAATGAAAAATTCAGTAACTTTCCAAATATTTACAGGATCTACTTACTCTTCCCGTTGCTAGTAATATAGGTTTTGGTGAGTGACAGGTGATATCTTCTTGTGTAGGAGGCACTATAAAGTCCCGCACCGCATTCCACATTGCATTGCCGGTGATGGTACCCTGTTCAAAACTAAAAGCGCCCGGACCATCGGTGGTGCCAGCAGCAAAGCTGTAACCCATTGCAGGCAGACAGCCACGTATCTTGTCCAATTTGCGTTGGAGTGGATTGTAGGTGCTTCCGTTATAGTTCGGCATATCCACGAATTGATGAATATAACCTAATTCTCCTACTATTTCACGGCTTGTCACCTCCTGGCTATTCTCGTTTAAAAGGCGCTATCGGATTATTAATATAATATCCGTGAAAAATTAATAGTAAAATTACTACCAAATACAATTTCGTTGTTTTAAAATATTACTCACTAAAGCGCCCTCAGTCAGACGTGTCGCTATGATCTCAGTGCTCTCAAACATGTCCCGCCCTGGGCCAGATGCAAAGCACTCGCCTTCCTTTTGTGGGCATTTCGAAGTGAGCAGGTCGCATTCGTTGCCGCTTATTGAGCACCTCGGACCCATTATATTTGGTGAAACATCACCCAGATTGGACGAGCAAAAAGCACCAACAAACTTGCCCTAGAAGATTAATTTAACGTTAGTATTTATTTAATATTTTTTTTTTTTAATATAAACTCATCTTACTTTGCCGGGCACTTTGTTCGTATTATACTCCTTTTCAAGAAGTATAGCTGCGTAACCCATATTGTCCGACGTCACCAATTTATTGGTGTTATTCATAGAAGTGGGATGCACGGCGTACCAGTTAAAGGCGCCCAACAAATTATTGTCCAAATCCACGAAACGCAATTGTGTCAACGTCTTGTCCACATCGTGCTCGTATTGTGCACGTTCCTCCTCCGGATTACGCAAATACGAAGTTGGTGAGCGATTAATATTAACATTTAGTATTGTCGTTCTGGAGAGGAAAATCTTACCGTCGACCATATTGTCAGTGGCCCGTTTAATACTCTGCAAAATTCGTTATTTGAATATTTGAAAATGTACAATAAGTAAAAGTTGAATTCACCAACCAAGTAGCAACCCTGAACGAGCGCCTCGAAGGTCTGTGGCACAAAGCCCAAAATCGAGATGTCGTACAACAGATGCATAAGAAAGCCGCCAGGCCCGCCATGCGTATGCGTTCCGCTGATAACGACATTATCCGTCGTGTAAATATCGCCGTAGCGTGCCTGCAAACGCTTTACTACCTGTCAAGATTAGAACAACATTTATTAGCTAATCCTTCTATCTTTGATTTCAAAGTTTCCCAGCTAACCTCCCGTTTAACGCCGTAACCCATCATACCCGCATCGACTGAAACGAAGGCGACTCGCTTGTGGTTTTCATCCTCGACGACAAAAGCGCGCGCAAATTGACGCAAATGCAGCCCGCGACCCACTTGCTTAATGTTCGCGTAACCCATCTGAGAAAATCATTAAATAGACATACATATACATACTCAGTAATTTTCTAAAACATTCGAAAGAAATATTTAAAAACCGCCAATGCTAACTTACAAAATGTATTTCCACTGGTGGTCCGGTGCAATCAGCTCGCCCAACACCGACTTGATAACCACTGACGTAGCCCCACATCGCACCACTAAGGCAAAGTGTGACTAAGCCCAAGCCGAATAAACTTCGAAGGCAATGCATTTTCGTTATCTTGAGGGAACTTCAGTGAGTTTTTCTTTGGATTTTGTAGTTATGCAGTTTTCTTTGTTATTGCGCTGTTTTAATGAACACGTGAAAAGCTAATCGGATTGCATTCGCTTCGTTTACAACGCTTAGAAGTGCTTGATGCCCTCGTCTTTTAATGTGCGGCACTAGACTGAAAGAAAGAGAGGAAGAAATTTTGTATTTAAACTGCGATGTGAATAAATTGAATTATTATCATCCCTTATGTTTATTGAGTCACATTTTTTCAGATGACGCCGTGCATTTTAAATATTTGTTTTCATAAAGGGAAACAATACATACGAGTACCTACATACAAACGAAAATAAATATATACTCGTACATATGTATGTACATATATATTTTGCAGATTAGAGAAACGGGTATGAAGACTCTTCTATATTGCCTGTAATGGATCTATGGAGATTAATTAGACGTTCCATCACCCACTTAAGCAGTTTCTCATCGAAAAGTCGTTCGGACTGAGTTCAAAGCCGAATTAACTTCGACTGGAATCGCCTGTTAGTGCCAAATGGAATAGGTCCTATGAAGAGACTAATTTTGCCCGAATGCAAAGTGGTCTGTTTTTATATTCATTAAATCCATTCAAAGGGTGGTGTGGTGTGTTTACCACGCGAAACTCAATACATGAATTTTTCAGTTCAGTGTACTTCCTTTAACCAGTTCAAAAGGCACGAAAAGATACCGCGACTCACGCAAGGTTTCACGACCGGCTCAACCTCTTGCAGGACCCAGCGCGGTGATTCTGTGATGGATGCCCAGAGTATATTGAGTTTATGGAGGGAACACTTCTCCAGCCTGCGGAATGACAGTGAAAAAGAAATACCCGGATGGGCACGACATAATTGGTTCGGCTATAATTGCGCCAACGTAAGCGCAGCCAATGCCAATAAGGAAGAAGCAGAAGTTCAAAAGGTATAAGAAATCTACAAGTTATTATTTCATGCTACGCTGTGTGCTATACATACAATACGAAAGCTCCCTACAGAATTCTAAGATGTTTCCACATTAAAATCAAATATTTAGACAAAGACAATGTAATTTAGACAATGTAAATTAGTTTAGGTTACTTGGCCGGCTGATGTGCTTTACATAGACCCGTTGGTCCTTTCTGCTGTGCTGCGAACTAAGGTAGATGTCGTTTAGGACATCAACGCCTTTCGGGAAGCTCAAGGAAACCTTAATATCCAATTTTGAACTCTGCTCTGGTCCTCTGTACTGCGCAGTTACGAGATATCTAAGATAAATTCTAGCTAAGGCCGAACAGAAACTGAGGAGACGTTCTAGCATCTGTCTCTGGCTTCATTCCTGCGCTTGCTATATGTGTAACTGCTCCTAGGAATCAACATGTTTGCATGGGATACCAGTAGGCTGTGGCCTGTGTCAACAAGAAATGTGTTCATCCTTTGCGGATATTAGACATGACCTTGGTGTTCGTAATTGCCCATAGCGAAGGGTTGTTCCGCTCAGTGGACTCCGGATCCCGTTTTAGAAACCATTTTCGAGCTACCCGTAGATATTATAGGTTCTATTGGGGGTGGCATGCTCTTCCGCCCTCCTTAAACTTAGCTTGAAGCACTATACTTTTGATAAAGCTTGTGGGTATATAGTTTATTTTACCGTAGTTTTTGGCAAAGAATTCCCACCATGCCCACCAATCTCATGCCTGATTTCGCTGCGCATGTAAGTTGATAGGCAGAGTATGAATATAGTGTAGTGCACATATTCTCCTATATAAAATACATACATATTTATATATATGTATATGTATGTGTATAGGTATGTAAATGCATCTAAAATGCTTGCAGAAAACCCATGTATGCTGATACACGTGAGTCGAATCAGCCGAAAATTTACTTATTGTATATGTATGTATTATATACGAGTATATTATTTATACATATCATTTATGGAAAGCATATATGTATATATGTAAGTATCTTAATACTCGTACTTTCCGCCTTAGTGACTTTTTTATGCCTTTCAAGAAATTGTATTTTAATTATTATTATGATAATTATGATACTGAAATCATAGGCAAGTAGAAGACCAACCAACACGGTGAGGCTAACGAGTTAATTTAGTTTTATTTAATCGGTTTCTGAATTATTTATACGAAATTTGGTGGGCTTCATTCAAATAGGCAGTCAAAAATTGTATATTTGATTCTCAGTTCGCAGATTACTACGAGGGTTGCCTGTTATATTCATTGGCAACTTTCACGTAAAGTTTGACATTTTTGATGTTATAAATACGTACTCGGAACGTATTTACATACAACCGTTATTTGTTTTGTTTACAGTAGCTTAAAATATTCGTCTCGACCGAAAAATGGAATTAAATCACGAACACTTTTGCACGAGTTTTTTTTACTACTTTTGAGGAGCAACATGCATTGATGAACTTTAGTCAAAATCCGACCCAGAAATTCAAAGGTGAATAACATTTATATAAAGTAAAATAAGTTTTCGCCCATAAAGGGTATACGGTTTTTATAAAGCCAAAAACAACACTTTTCTTGTTTTTGTTTTTCGTATGAACGTATTATTTTTAATTTATTTACACTAAGGCGAAATTTAATTATTATGTTGTACTTGTACTTATTCCGCACCAAAAATACTTAAATGCTTGCCATTAAAATGCCAAAGTTCAGCCAGGCGCTGCGTGCTCTGTATAATTTATTAATTCGAGACATGATAGGTGACATTGAATACACTTTGGTGCACAAACGGCATTACAATTATATCGTATTGAAGGATTAATTATTAAAGTAAACACATTTTATGATAATAAATACTTTGATAGGTGGGAATTAGTTTACATTAACTTATTTAGTAATTTCCATTGCATTGAAACCAAATATTTTTAATGCAAATATATGCCTACGAGTACATACATACATATATAATAATTCTACTACGAGAAAATCCTGATTGAAAGAAATCAAATGATATTCGTTTTATAATGGAAAGACTTCACACTTGCGCAATCACTTCAGTTTTGCTTTAATTGAATTTCTTCCAGTACACATTTTGTTGTTGTTTTTATTCTCTTCAACACCGGCAACTATGGCACCGGCTAATCCGTTCATTCATAAACTTGTACTTATGTACATATGTGTTTGTTGGGCTGTTTTGATAATTTTATTTCACCCATTGAACACTTGCATCTGACACAACCATCTCACTGATGCCACACACACACAAGCACCCATGCGCACACATACTTATACTGTTGGATATTTGCACATATTCGCACAAACATTTTCGGTTTGGTTGTATGTACGCGTATACGTGTATGCGAGTGGACGCAGCGATTACTTAAGGCTGTTCAATTGAACGAAATTACGGATGTTGGTATGGCCGTTGGATGCTGCTTTTGTAATTCGATTTGGGGCCTATTAAATACGATGCTTTTTTGTTATCGCACCGACACGGGGACATATATATATGTGTATATATATACATACATATGTACATATATGCATTAATTTTATTATATCTTTTAACATATTGTTATTAATCTCTGGCATTATATGTATATGTATATGTATGCATGTGTGCGATTGTAAACTGAGTGTCGTACGTTTTGGTGTCTTCCTTTCATTGGATCAAATGAACCGAATTGATATGAAACGTTTTCGTACTGTGTAATTTTCAAAAGTGGCACAAGTGAGCTTGCGTAACTTTGAAGAAATATGACTACATATGTACATACATATGTATATACATATGTATATTCAGGATACTTTTGTTAATTATCTTTATATTAAATATTATGCTTTAAAAAATCTGAATTCACAATTAAATTAACTCAACACAATTCATATTTTCTTGTAATTTGAAAAAAGAAAAATGTCAAATCAATGGTTTTATAGCACTGCACCTAACGGCTTACATATTATGTATAATGAACTTTTTAGCTAATATACACTAAATACATATGTACACATATATACATTATATACATAAAAGTATTTTGGCACTTGAAAACGTTATTTTTCAGCAACTCTAATATTAACTTTCGGGAATCTTGAATATTATTTTTATTTATTATTTATTATTTTTAACATATTTTTGTATGGCAATAAGCCATGGAAAATTCATTTTTTAAATTTCAATTTGCCCATTAATTAAAAGCATCGCCAGAATGAATTCTCTTCTCTTGAGTGGCGTTATCACAAATTAAATTTTTATATTTAAGACTTTCTTTTCATAACTTAGCCATCTCTTCTGACAACTATCCAGCAATCCTCCACTTTACATATATTCATTTATCCATTACTTGTTACCCTAGACAAAAAGCAGAGAATAACTTTTCACTGTAAATTGCGTTTTTGTCATCAGCATCACATTTAAACCGCATCAGTTTTGTTAATTATAATTAAGTTACTGTTTTAATTGTGTTGTTGTAAATTTCAACTTACAACGCGCCCAACTCTAATTTAGTCTGTTATTGTACAATGTTGGCTTGACATTGAAATCGCGTTGAAAATCACACATCTTTAATTTCTTGCCTTTGCCTTATTTCTTCAGTTTGTTTTGTTCGATATTTGGCTTGTTGGGCCAATAACTTTTGTTTGTAAGTTAGCTTAAGTAATTTAATATTTTGCTTATTGGAACTATCCGCAACGTACGATTTCAGCAACCACCGTCTGTCCAAGTTGGCACCCGTTTGTGCTGTCTGAGTGAGCGCCATCACTGAGCAACCGTTCACTCTGACAGCGCCGCATTTACATACGTACATATGTACATACATTCATATTACGTGATTTAGGGCGATTGCATCGCTGCTTGGTTGGCGCCCAACGCAAAACGGTGTTCGTTAATGCTCAGCGTTTTCACTCAGCGGGCAATATACAGAGCTTTGCTAGACAAAGTTCCCTCAGCGTAAGCTAAGCTGGGCTCAGTGCATGTACACTCACATGCATGCTTTTATGCATGGAGTGAGCGTTGGCGTATGAATGGTCTTGTTGATGACGAAGGCTCTTTGTTCGATTCCGCGATCGGTCATGCTGCTCATAGATACTTATGTACATATATTTATATCGTGTCAGAGCTGAACAGCTGTTCGTTTGGCTTCTTTGTTTTGGTCGCTTACTAATGCATCCATTTATTTTGTTACTTACATTCATACACACATTTTTGTCTTTGTTATTTGGTATTGATTTGTTTGTTGTTGGTTTCAGTAGCGTTGAAAAGCAGATGATTAACTTACATATGCAATTCTCTTATCGCACAAAAATTGCTTTCTTAATTCAGTATAAACGCAAATAACAAAGACGTACGTATGTACATATGTACATATAACTAAATATGTGGATAGCTATTTCAGTCGTGGTCAAATATGCTTTAGTTTATATAAAAGATTGAAACAGAAATCGGTCGATACGAAATTTGGAAAAATTGAAAACAAAAACTATATTTATTTAGATAATAACAATAACGAGATAATTTTTTGGAATCTCACGCAAAAATCAAACTTCCTTCTTCTTCTTAATTGCCACGGCTCTGCTTACGCGATTATAGCCAACTCAACAATAGGGCGCCATTCGCTATTCTCCTCGCTGTTTGGCGCTAGTGGTAAATACCAACTAAAACCAGTTCGCTCTCCATCCGATCTTTCCAACGGAGCGGAGATCGTCCTGTTTCTCTGCCTGCAACGGCGGGTACGGCATTGAATACTTTCAAAACTAAAGTGATTTCATCTATTCGCATCCATCGTCTGCGGTATTCGCAGTTGTCAAGACACAAAGGATCATACATCGTTCGCAAAACCTTTCTCTCGAAGCTTCCTAAGGCTGGAGCGACGGATGACGATTTCGTTCACCATCGCTCCCTTTCTAGCAGGATGATGACCTTGTAGAGCTTGGTTTTCGTTCGTCGAAAGAGGACGAAATTACGACTTCGCAGTTATGACTGTTCACAGCGACGATTCTTTATCAAGCGAGGTGAAAACAGAACTCAGGCCTCTGATATCAAAGTCAATGGCAGACGCCAGGTGTTGTATACTCGTGTGAAAGATAGCATTTTGTCTATTTAGCTCTGCAGCTCTTATTATTTTCTCCAGCATCAAATTAAAGAAGAATGACACTGTTTAGGTATAATGTGGAGAAATCGCTCGAGTCATTTTAATCCGAGCAAATCATAATTTTTTGTATTCAAGCAGTTAATTTTAAACTTATAAATTAGAGATTAAGAAATGTACATAATAGTAGAAAAGTGTTAGCTCATGTTAATAGGTTGATAAGTCTCTAAAACCGATAGATTAAACTACCACAACAGCAAACATTTATATTATATACATACACATACGAATATACATATCTTCGTAGGTGGGCCCGTTAAAAATATGTCATTCATTCATTGAATGGCATTCAAAATAACGATAAGACCACGAAGTATATAGACAAGAATTTCTTAGTAACCTCGCAAACATGTACTTGTATATATATATGTATATACATAGGTACTTAAACATTGAAACTTAAAAACAACAATCAATAAATCTTTTAGATATAATAAATATGCACATGCATATATATTTATATTTAACAACAAAACCAGGAAGTGCTTTCTAAAGTTTCATATCCTTTATATACTTATATTACTTATGCACATGCTCATTGCTTTTCAAATAGTATTTAACTTGACTCACATGTATTTGCGCTAGCTATCCTCAACACCACTGTTTCTAAGTCTATGGGCAACTGCCAAGTCTCAGTTATGTCAAAATTATTTAACCAAGTAGATTACGATAATCATTGAAGCAATGTACATAAAACAAGCTCCTATCGCCCTTTTTTTAGATTAGTTTATAGAATTCGAAGACTTGAAACTATCGCGGTGATTTCAAATCGAGGTGGCCAGTAAAACTGAAGTCCGTATACTTACTTTTTAGTTTTAATAAAATTTTAGGCTAAAAATCTCTTTTTAACAATATTGTTTTAATTAAAAAATTCTTTCTGCTAAAAAAAAATTCTTGCAAAATATTAGTTTCTAAATTCAAATGCAAATTCCATTGATGTTATTTCAAATTAGCAACAAAAAGGGGAGAGCTGATTAAAGATTTATTTATATATCAAAATCCATTGCTGAAATCTAAGTATTGCTGTTTATTGCTTCTGAAATTTTGTGCGAGTATACACGTTATTGGCGCGTTGTAACCGTTGAAGCGATTTTCGGCCGAGCTCCAACTCCAATTTGTGGTTTTGTGTCTTGACGTGTTTCCAACAAATGGACGAACCTACGATTTATACTAAGACGACTCCGAACGGCTGATGGTTTTTTTATTTCATGCCCGAATTTATACCTCCAATAATTATATCAGTAACTACCTTTTATCTTATAAAACGAGATTAATAAATAAAATATTTATTTCCAAATTCAAATGCTTTCTTATTAATCAATAATAGAATCCCGTTACCAAATATTAATATAAGATTATATTTCCCCCTTTTTGGGCCTAGTCAGAATTGGAGTTTACCAACACTTTAAAGTTGCAACACTGTTTTATAGCAGCTGTGAAACTTGACAATTATCAGTTTTCTTGATTCTCAATTGCGAAAGTTAGTAGAATATCACACAACCTGCAAAACAATATAATTAAATGAACAATCGAATATTTTAGTAGCGGCAACTGGTAAAAATCAGCATCGATGGCAAAGGCTTTAAACAATATGGGAATGTCAATAGTGGAGCCGCATGAAAGAATACGTTTCCTCTCCAATCACGGAAATATGATTGAAGTGGACGCTAATATGCCAGTTACACGGTGAGTCAGTGATAGAGTTGGATAAAATGTAAATTCCATAGTCAGAGTGTGTGCATTTAAGATCCGTATTAAAAGACTTTCCAGCTGGCTGGTGGTTTTATAGAATGCCCTCGAAGTATTAAATAATTCAAAAATCCTTCTGCCATTACACTTTTGACATTGCTTTATTACTGTTTGTCCTTCCTAAAGAGAAAAAAGACAATAAAGTTGGCAATAACAAAACTCTTTACCTTGGCTGGAGATTAAGGCTAGTTTTAGAATGAAATTTCTTAGCATAATTTCCGAATGTACATATGTATGTAAGACTTTAAGTATATATGAATGTGTATGAACTCGCTAAGTTACCCAATTTGTAAAACCCTTATTTATTGTTAAGTTAATTAAGTGCTTATATGTACATATATTCTTGTTTTGCAGATACTATCGTTCCGGCACAGAAATGCTTCGCATGGCAAATGTTTACCTTACCGAGGGTAATCATGAAAACGCATTTATTTTGTATATGAAATATATGACGCTATTCATAGAAAAAATACGCTCCCATCCGGAATATCCAAAAATTAAATCCGAGGTAAAATTAATTAACAAACGTATTAAGGAAGAAATTATGCCGACAACTGAGAAGTTGCGAGCCAAGCTACTCGATCGCTATCAAAAGGAATATGAACAGTTTCTAGCGAATAAGGAGGCCGAGAAAGCGCGAGAATTAGAGCGTGAGCGTCAGAAACGTGCTGCGGGTTCTGCCGGCGGAAGTAGCAGTGGTTCAGGAGCATATATACCAACTAACCTACATGTGCAAATAGATCCGGGTATGCACCCCAGTGCACCCGACTTGGGACTACTTGATAAGGTAGTTTATCCTAACGATTTCCCCGCTAATACGAATCGTACAAGTTTGCCTAATTCAGGTCTGCTTATGCCTGGCGATTTGGACAAAGAAGGCGGAAAATCCATCAGGTTTGCTTTCCCTTTTTATATAAAAGTTGACAATCATTTTTCTTTATGTTTATTTTTTGTCTTGTGTTTATTAAAATTTATTTAAAATTTTTGTACCCTCCTCTTTGCCTACAGCAAGCCACCCAGTTTCGATCGCAGCCAAAAGCCTCAATACGAACGTTCTGATTCTCTACTGGCGGGCTCATTGAGAACAGTCGTCATACCTGATAATACAATGGAGGTGTTCTTGCAGCTAGCGCAAGGCAATACATGGAAAAACATCGAAACTTGTGGTATTCTAGCTGGACATTTGGCGCAGAATCGTTTGTTTATAACACATGTCATAATACCAAAGCAACAGGGCACGCCTGATAGCTGTAATACAATGAACGAGGAAGAAATATTCGATGTACAAGACCAGCAAAATCTTATTACGCTCGGTTGGATTCATGTAAGCGATATTGGTCGTCCCCTTATTTTTTTGTTTTTTTGCATTATTCGTTGGTTTTTTTTTTCTTATAGACTCATCCCACCCAAACAGCATTCCTTTCATCGGTGGACTTACACACGCACTGCTCGTATCAGATGATGATGCCAGAAGCAATAGCCATCGTTTGTGCACCCAAGTATCAAACGTAAGTATATCTACTTGTCTTGGTATGAGTCTACAAAAATAAATATGAATTTCTTTCATATTTAGGACCGGATTTTTTATATTAACTCCGGATTATGGTCTTGATTACATTGCTCAATGCAGACAAACTGGTTTTCATCCACATCCTAATGAGCCTCGTCTATATATGGTGCGTACATATGCACAGAAAGAACTGTTATTGTTTGTTTTTTCTAATATATTGTTTTATGTTTTAGGAGTCACAACATATTCAGCTGGATTCACAAAAGAAGATACAAGTGGTCGATTTGAGAAGATAGTATGTAGAGTTTTATGTTTGAAGATGCCTTATTTTATATGGTAATGCAGTGGCAGGGAAAGGGTCGCTGAGCGAATTTAAATCAACAAATGTGAATGACATTACTGACCGTTATTTAAAGAAAAAATATGGTAATATCAAATGAGAACTGTTCTATGAAATCGCAAACAAAATTACCAACTTAAATTAGTAAATAACGGAAAATAAATTAAGGAAGAGTAAATTTATTGTTCGACGAACTTAATAAACCTAAACTGATTCAAAAAATCACTTACAGCTTTGGGAAAAAGGTTATCAGAAAGTAGTATAAAATACCTTACTATGGCGCATTTAATAAGCGCTGCCAGCATAAATACATATGTATGTTTGAGGGAAGAAAATGTATTTTTGAAAAATGAAATAGTTCCTTTGTAATAAATCGAACAAATATGCATACATACCAACACATAGTATATGCGCACTTTAAAGCTTTTGAGAATTTGCAGTTGTCGGAGCAAAGCATAAATTACTTTATTATGCTGTAAGGCAATATTTTTTTTATATACATAAATATATAAGAGCTCTTCGAAAGCGTAGAAACATATTTATCAAATTTATATTCGCTCCCAGAAAACTATAAATATATATCTAGCAAAAGTATTTTTCGAAAGTTTTTTGCTGAAAATGAAAATGAATAGTTGTACAAGAAGTGAGCATGTTATTGACCCCTATTTACTGCTTTGGCACTTAAATTTATGTTTATTTATTTGGCTAAAAAAACTGATTTATATATTTTATTTATTGTTATAATAAGACGCGCTTTAATCACTACCAATTGATGGCTTAAGTTAGATAATTTCAATGTAGTAACAATGATATTCTAGCAAAAGCAATGTATTTATTAATTAACATTTAATTCAAAGAAAAACGAGCAAAACCAAAATAAATGAGCAACTTTATGTGTAACAGAGTAAAATCTAAATAAAATATAGAAATTATTTGAAATTTCAAGACTAATGTCTATTAATAGTTTTCAAGTAATGAATACTTTCATTGCGGGAGTTTTAGATCAAATGTGTGCGTAAGAGTTTCTCTTCTGGTGAGTACCAAATTCTTTGTCATTGAATAAATAACAGAGGACTTTTTGCAAGGACACTTTAACAGGGATTGATTTGCTCGTATTAAGGAAATATGATAAAAACGAATTCACCATATGTTAGTGTTGGGACACTTTTATTTAATTAAAAACAAATTCAGCACGGCAATAATAAATGATTAAACTTTTTCGAAAACAAGGATTTGAATTCCATTCGTCTGTTCTTTAACAATATTTAAGTGAAGGTTAACAACAATAAGAATATTGTTCGATGAAAGCCGTACAAACATGTGCACACATTAGGGTGGTATAAGCCATGCGCAAATAATCACAGTTTTTCGGCGGCTGATGCATGTCCACGTAGTTCGGTAATCCACGAGAGCTTTAAATTTTTTCTATGGCCCACTCTAATGTATGCTTGTAAGTAAAGTTTACATTTCTTTCTTTACAGTTCCATTTCCACAAGTTTTCCATTGCTGCATAAATTCTCCTAACGCTCACTGTGTTCGCACAAGCCTCAGCTGAGTTCAGTTCTTCGTGGTTGGTCGACTGTTGTAGAGCGAATCTGGAGTTCCGCAAGTCACACACATATATACATCTGGGCATCAAAAGAAAAAAGAAAGAAAATTGAATAAGTGGTATTAATCACAAAAAAGAAAACAAAAATAAAATATCGCAAAAAAATTAAATGCTAAAAAGTGGAAAATAACGTTATTTTATGAAAAATCGATTTCTCACCCCGCCCGTTTTTCATTCTACGTGACCATACATAGCCACATACATATTTGATTTAATATTCATGTAAAATTTGCAAAGGTCAAACACGTGAAAAGGCTTAAAGTGAAGCGAGGAACGTTGAAGAGTAGCACAGCTAAAAGTAGAACGGTTTACTTTAGCTCGTTGAGGTTTGCTTTATTAATTCGGTGCGGTGTGGAAGCAGGAAGTGGTGTACTTGTCAGCGCTGCTCTTTTTTATTTCCATCACTCTGTCACATACAGACAAACCGTAGTGTGAAAAGTGATTTATTTCTTGGTTTAAACGCCGTTTTCCTTACCTCATTTCTATTTTTTGCTTTTTGGTGATAATCTCCCGGAGCTTGATTGTTCACACCGCTAAACATACACGTGTATGTACATAGGAAATCCATATTAACAGCAAGACCCGTGCCATTACTACGAGATTTGCCTTGGCAATCAAAGTGTTTTCCGATATCGTGAGCCATCGTACGTGTCAGAGCCAGCAGTGTTGCTGTTGTTAAATTCCAAAACAGTTACCAGTGTCGGTGTTCAACAATAAATAGAAAAAAATCGAAAATCAGAGAAAAGCACGCTAGCGAAAACACACACACATGTTAGTTAGAACAGTGCATGGAGATAGGCGAAAGCGGTAATTGAGTCTCGTGTGGAAGTGGAAGTGTAATTGGAAGTGGCCTCAAGTGAACAGTGACCGGTGGGAAAGTTCAAAATCTAACTGAGCAGCTGTTAAAATAAATATTGCAGTCGAACGAACGAACGAACTATCTGCTGTCGCCTACTGTCTGTAAGCTAGACGGGCGCGTGTCTTTTGGTTATAATGAATAGTATTTTTTGTCCAAGCCATTGGATACTGCAGTCAGTTCAATGTCAAGATGTAAGTATCAAGTGGTGCATAGTCATAAAGCACATGGACATCATGTACATTTGTATATATATATATATATGTATATGTTTATAAATACTCATATATATGTATGCATTAGGGTGGGTTAAATATTTCGAGACGTCCTGTCCGAATATAATCTTTCAAAAATATGATAAATAGTTCTCCAATTGTATGTCAATACTTCCGATATACATATATGTATATATATATAATTAATTATTGTAACCGCTGAAAGGATTGACGCTGACGTGCTCCCCGCGTTTTAATGTTTATCCAAGCCGCCTCCGAACGACTTATTGTTTTTTATGAGAAGCTTTTATATCATGATTGGAATACACTCGGTGGTCTTGCCATACCCTGTCGAGGAAATACGCACCGCTATCTTTAGGTTATTGCGACCACCACGTATAGCTGAGAATATTTATGAGGAACTTTTGATTTACTCATAAATTTACTCCGGTGTGGTAAATTTCTTCAGCGCATCCCGAAAAGGAGGGACTCAACCAAAATCTTCTTGCAGTCTGCTGCATCGTTCTAGTTTAATTCGCAGACTATGCCCAGCACGTGCTACATTTCATACAACTCATCATCGCTTAAGCGGTTATAATGCGCCACTTGTATATCCTGTATAAAAGGGAAATGGCTATAAATCTTTAGCGCAACATTTCCCTCCAAAAGAATTATCAGGTGTACTCATTTCATCTTATCCCCCCTTCATTATTACAACTATTTAGAAAAACAAATATTAACGAGTTTTTTAAATGTTTTAAATATCTCTATTTAGTTGTGTCCATTTTAGAATATTGAGCATCAGGTCAAAGGTAGAACCACCGTCTTTATTGAAAGTCTCACCAAGACTAGTTATCTTTTGTTAGAGCTTTCTATAACTTTTCACATCAAATCCCTTCAAGCATTTCAAAATTCTTTTAGACTACACCTTTTTCTCTCTCTTCACTCCTCTTCTTGCTCTCGCAGCAAATTTTTTTAAGATAGTTTCACTTCGAAAGTTTTGATCTTGCCACTTTAAAAATTTTCATCTGCGGTCCGTTATCGATTTCTCAGAAATTTCTTCTTCGATTGCTTAGCAAAGCTTGCATTAATCTCCTAAAGTTCGTAAAATACACCAACTAGTTGACTGATATCAGTATATTTGGCGCCTTGTTTGAATTCAAAAGGGTTTGGAATGTTTAATCGAACGAAACGACTTTTAGCGTAATTATTAGATTATTATAATGAATTTGCACTGCTCTGTAAAGCCAACAATTATGAAAACGACATCCTGTTCAAACATTGATATAGCAAATCTAGCCAGCTCGTCTTCTTCTTCCATTCGATTTAATTTAATTTTTTTCTGCGGGAATCTCTTCCCTTTCCGATACTTTCTTACAATTTAGCGAAGTTGTAATATAAACAATTATGAAAGGCATACACTTGATGAAGTTTATTATCAAGGGATGCAAAATACAATATAATACGAGATTTTTGAATGTTTAAACATTTAAAACATATGAAAACTCTCCACATATTTTTAATTTAAAATGGTATATTACTTTTAGCAGAAGAGGGAGGCACGTCAGATAAATATGAAGCCGACTGTGGAGAGAGAATGAAACTACCTTTAGATTATTGTATCATGAAAAATACTTATTTTTTGTCTGTACTATAATTCTGATGAGCTTTCAGAAAATTTGCAATCTATTTAAAACACTTATCTACACACAATCACACACACGCACACACACACACTCGTAGACATACAGTTTGCTTCATGTGGTAATCCCGTGAGAATACGTGACGTATGAGCAACCCACTCTCAATATAACTTCCGCTGAAGCAACCACAAAAAACCACAAAAGTGTGGTTATAATTTTTACGGCAATAAAAACATTATCAAATAGCCATAAATTAAGAATACAGGTGATTAGAAGACAAACATGTTTGCATCTTGCTTTCATTGTGCAGCAACACCATGTTTGTGTTCAATGCATTACGAACAATTCATTCTTAAAACAACACCGTGATATAGATAAATACTTGACTCCTTCAGTTTATGCTATTTATGAGCAATTTCATCTACGTTAATAGTAGATTCGAAAGGTTTTCATTGTCATTAACTTATTATTAGTCGTTTGACCTGGCTCACGCCAACAAGTCACAATATACAGTGTCAAAATATTTTCGGGAACACAGATTTCGTTCAAGCATCTGGCACCAACACATTCTTCAAGGAAATGGAAAATACTTGAATTTTTATTTCTGCAACTATTTTCCCTTTCACTGTTCCAATGTACGTATGTATTTTCATATCTATTTATAAATACGTTTAGTCAGGGAATTCGTACATATGAGTTCACTATGGCGTATGGTATTTGACAAGAAACGAAAATATAATATATATTGTACATACATATTCATGTATATGTTTATTCGCGCATTCATGCTCTACCTTGAATGACCATGAGCTTGGAAAAATATAAATTTTATATGTAGGTACATATGGCTGAGCATATATGTACATCTAGCAGGCAAAAAATTGTGGTAATTACGGTCTCGAAGTTTTTGAAGCCAAGTCTGTTGTGATCTCACCATTTAATGAGTGAAGTAATTTGTTAGCAGAGGAAGGAGCCAGCCTTCATTGAACACCAACGATTAGGCGCATCAAAGGCAATGAGATTCTCGGTAAATTGGCCAAAGATGGAGTTCTTTATGAACAGACTTAGCCGTGGACTTGTCGACTCCTCTCAGAGAAGTGAAATATGCAGAATTAATACTCTTTTATGGTATTTGGGAATATACTGAGGTATGCAGAATGGCGAAAACTATGTGCAATAACCTTTGACGAGAAGCTGACTAAGGTCACCTTAGGCTCTGGTCGTGAGAGTGCAGTCTGCTAGTAGGACTATTAACAGGGCATTGGTATCATGTGGCTTCAAATGAGGCATATTATTGACCGAAAATGCTGGGCGAGTGAATGGATGACTAAAGAAGCGACACCAAAAAAGTCCTACAAATAACAATCTCTTAAACTTACTTCATTAAATGTACAATAACTTAATGAATTAGCCTAAAATTATTTATTTATTGGCCCTTCCTGACGTAATAACTGCTATATCTAATGTGAAATACATGCATAATATNTTACGTGTATGTAGAAGTTCCCTTCTCTCCTCTCTTCCCCACGAAGGTCATTGTCGCTGTTGTTGTTATCCGATTATGTGTTATTATTACAACTGATTAAATGTACAATAACTTAATGAATTAGCCTAAAATTATTTATTTATTGGCCCTTCCTGACGTAATAACTGCTATATCTAATGTGAAATACATGCATAATATGCTTATCTGTTATATAATTAAATTGAAATAATATCACAATAACAGTCGAATTTTAAGTTAGGGTTGAATTGGTGTCGTTTACATTGTACGGAAAGCGCAAAAAGGAAAGTATTTTCCTCGTGACTGTTATCATGAACATGACATGAACTTTATATAATAATAATTATTTTCTACAATATCAAATGTAAATATTTTTATAATTGCAAAAAGTAATACAAATAAACAAACGCATATGTGTTTATATATTGAAACAATAAATCCATAAAAATATTCATATTATTGTGACAGATAGAGTAATAAGGTTTAATAATTAGCGACAATGTGCCTCATTTGAAATAATTAGCGATTATTAAATACATGTAAAGCTTAATATGTGCATATGCTACTCACACGTACATCAGTTATTATAGCAATAATAAACAAATTAATTAAAATATAATTAATATCAGATTGTACTCACAAGCTTTAGCCTTCTTTGGCACAATTAACTGTTTCTACAACAGTAAGAGAGAAAAGCCAAATACTTTCACATTTTATCCAATTCATAAATTTTTATTTATTTTATTTTATTTTTTTTTTTATATTATTTTCTTTTATTTTATTTTAGCTCTCCTTAAGCGATTATATTTCATAATCACAAATATACCATTGTGTGTATGTACACACGTATGTTTCCATCATCATCATCATGACGCACAAACCTACTATAATCCTCTCACACATACCGTTACACACAATTCTAGTCGCACTTTATCAATCCTCAGAAATTTGCAACATTGCGGGTGTTTGGCTAGTCCAACGATCCTCAGTCGTGATTCGGTATTTGATGTTGATGTTGACGCGACGCTAGAAGAAAATTATTCAGCGTTGACGCGTTTGTGCGATTTGAGCTCGGTGGAGAGGTGTGACGCGACATACAAAAAAGAAATAATATAAAGCTGTAGCGCAATATATTTACATTATATGTCGATACATATATATTCACATATATACATAAATATTATATATTTGAAGTGATTTCAATTGACGTGGGTGTGTTTTGCGAAAATTCAAAATTAGGAAAAATACAGAGATCAGCGATAATTGTAATTGTTTTAAACTGTACAGCGGCGTATATACATAGTTACTTAACAAATACGAGGATAATTAAAAAAAAACAGAAAACAAAGAAATCAATTAAAAACATGATGGAAAAGAAAGAAGAGGTAGGCCAATTCGACTACTTTGAACACAAAAATATCTATGTGGAAATACTTGTATGCACAATATGTAGATGTTAAACAACTTTGAAGTTTATTGCCGAAATTCAAAATCCTCCGAACCTGCTAATGAAATAACTGTTACACACTGCAATACGCGTCCATAACCAGTGGTCTGCGCGAGTGTAGACAGTAGATATTACTTTTCCTTCTTAGACAGCCCGATTACGAAATTTAAAAATTCAAATAAATAGAACTGAAAATCTAATTTTAGATAAAAGTCGTGTTGCCTTCTCTCAATGTATTAATATGTTTGCTTTCAGACCTTTAATTACTTGTGTATGAAATGACTAGGTCATTTCTGCAGGAATAAGCAAAAATAAAAATTTTACAAACAATTTTTTTTGGTAAAGAATGTTGTGCTATCTAAAATAGCCTTCTCCCAGTCAATTG